CCATTTTATAACTTTAACATTTATTTTATGTATTAAAAATTAAATTGTTTTTTATTTATTCATTTATTATTGTATTTTCAATCGATGTAGTTGTTATTATTTCGAGACAAGCATGAAACATTTGGTAGTCCACAAGCACAAAGAGCTTGGAAGCAAATGAATCTAGATAAATAGTAAGTTAAATAATTATAATTTATTTATATTATTTAATTGTATAGCCCATTGAAATTTAATTTAAATAATTTTATACAGCTGAGTGGTGGATGATATATGGCACTTGTGTTCCTGAATTACAAAAACTAGCAATCAAAGTGCGTAGTCAAACAACATCTGCATCAAATTATGAACGTAATTGGAGCACATTTAGCTATATTCACACTAAAGCAAGAAACAGATTGAAGTTTGCAAGACTCCAGAAACTTGTATATACCTATTATAACATGAGGTTGAGGATGAGACATCAAAAAAGAATGAGCATTGATGAAATAAATAATAGTTTTAATCTTATTAGCCTTGACCATATTTTTTAAGATGATGATCCACTAACAGAATGGCTGCAAGAGAAAGAAAATCCTCTATTAGATGGTCAAAACTCTGATTGGTTGCCTGCAGATAATTCTGATAATGAAATAAATGTTGAACGATCACGTTAATCTCAATAAAAGAATGTGTCTCATTCAAGTTCAAGTCCAACACCAAGTCAGAGTGATGATGGTGGTGGTTTAAGTCTAGATGATGATGGTGATGGAGATGGTGATGGTGATGGTGATAGTGCGAATTTTGGTGATAATATGGATGCAAATCGACCTTACAGCCCACTTGGAGGAGAATTTGGGCTTGTTGCTACTGGTGGACTTTTTATTAATATGGCAGAATACGGAGGAAATCCATTTGCTGAATCTAGTGAGGGTCAAAGTGCACGTACAGCTTGATTAAAAAGAAAAGCAAAGAAGCACCACTATAAAATTTTTAAAGGTTCTTCATCTTCAGGTGAGAGACCAAATTCTAGTAACTTTGAGTATAGTGAATCATCTGCTAGTACTTAAAGACATTACTATCCACCAGAACAACATAATTTTCAACCTCCTCATGGTTATCCACCTCTATATGGTTATTATCCACCTCAAATGTATCCTCCACCTCCTCAAATATATCCTCCACCTCAAATGTATCAAGAACAAATGTTTCAGGGATGGAGATGGAGTCAACTTGGCTCTCAAAGTGAAGATAGAGAATCTGATCCTCCTCGTCATTCTACCATGTGGTAAATTTGAAATATGTATCAATAATTGTAGTTGATAGAATTTGAAATTATTATATTTTTAAGTTTGTAATTTTATTAAATTAAATGCTTGGTATTTAACATATTATGTTTTGTTAATATTTGATTTGTCTAGAATTAATATTGAATATGAACTTAGCCAAGAAAAATTTTATGGATAAACCAAATATGAATGCTTTTTATAATCTAAATAAAATTGTGAATAATTTTTTTAGAAAATAAAAAACATAGAGTGTCATAAAGTATTTTTAAAATCATTGAATAAGAGTTTTTATAATTATAATTATAATTATTATATTTTATAATAAATTATGCAAAAAAAAATTTCACGACCGTGATGACCGCAGTGACTGCAATTATCTCTATTATATCCGAAAATGCGACAAATGCTACGCGATCGAAAATATGATCGCGACCGCTATTTAAATCCCTGATGATGAGTTTGACAATGCAGCAACCACCATAATGAACCACTCTCCAAAAGCATGGGATCACATGCATTTTAAAGATATTATAGCCAAAGTTGCAAGTGTTGAACTCTATTAGAAGGCTGTGCATTTCTACTTGCAAGAATATCCTGATCTTATCAATGATGTTCTTAATTTACTTGCCCTGTGTGTTGACCATGCACGTGTTGTGGATATAATGAGGAAGGTACGTGCATCTCTTAGGATGTTAGGGGTTGCCTCGTGCTGTTCTTTGTAAATTTTTTATCCTCTTCTCTTCTTTTTAGAGAAAAATAATGCATGGAGAGAGTTCTGCCCATTATAATTTATTTATGCTTGCAATTCATTTAGTTTCAGGCTGGTCACCTGCATCTTGTTAAGCCACATATGGTTGCTGTTCAGAGCAACAATGTAGCTGCTGTGAATGAAGCTCTGAACGAGATTCATGTAGAGGAGGAGGATTATGACAGGCTTCATGAATCTATAGGTCTGCATGATAACTTAGATCAGATAGGCCTTGCTCAGAAGGTGAGAGGTTCTACCTTAGTTATTTTGTGTGTTGTGTTAAACTTTAGTTGTTTTAAAGTACCAAGGTTGGGATTGTTTTACAAGTGAGAATGGTTTGTATGAGCAGATTTGAGAAGCACGAACTTCTTGAGATGAGGCATGTTGCTGCTTATATATATAAGAAGGCAGGGAGATGGAAGCAGTCTATTGCATTGTCAAAGAAGGACAATCACTACAGAGATGCCTTGGAAACGTGTTCACAGTCTGGTGATTGGGAACTTGCAGAGGAATTGCTTGTCTATTTCATTGAGCAGGTATTTTTTCTATTCTTTTTTTTTTTCATGCATACGTGTGCTAGACAGGCCTACTTTTACCTATTTTTTCTGTTTGTCTTATATAGGAAATTACTAAAGTTGAGTCCACTCACTAATCTAAATTTCATCTCGTCTAATGTAGGGAAAGAAAGAGTGTTTTGTGGCGTGGCTCTTTGTTTGTTATAACGGTAATCAGGCCAGCTGTTGCTCTTGAGCTTGCCTGGGCGAATAATATGATTGATTTTTGCCTTTCCATATCTTTTGCAGGTGATGTCCGCCCTGTCACTAGTTCTAATTGTTAGTTGAGTTTTGAAGTCGTTATCCTCAAACTTTTTGCTTGGTTCTTTTTCTGGGCTTTTTCTCCCCAATAAAGTATATACGGAGTACACAGGCAAAGTGGACGAACTTATGCAGGATAAAATTGAAGCTATGAATGAGGTGAAGGCCAAACAGGAGGAGAAAAGACATGGTTGCTCAGCAGGTAAAGCTATATGCAAAATCTCTTCGATTTCTTGCCTACAAATTTTTCTCAAATTTTTCTCAGGGAGAAAGAGGGATAGGGATGGAGTGGTGTGTTTCCTCCTTGTGGAACAGTTATATCTTTTCTTCATGCTACAAAGTAGGAGATTTTGAAAGAACTGCAAAACTCTTGGGTGCTTTTAGTGTCACTACTCACTTTTACTGGTGGTCAAGAACTAATTAACTGTTTTCATTGTCATGTGCTTGGTCACACAGAAACTATCCGTCATGTCTAACGATGTCAATTAAACCTTGAATAAGAACTTAGGAAGAAAACCAACTAATGGTCATTATTGGCTTCTTGATAGCTGATATGAGGCGATGCTGCCTTGGCAAGGAGAAAAGAAAGTAGGTACTTCAATCAGTCATCACTGCAAATGGGCTAGAAACTCTTGTTATTTTCCTGCCATATAAAGAATTTAGCAATTCAGATTAGTGTGATCACTCGAATGCTGTTAGAAGCACAATGAGCAGTCTATATTGTTTTCTAAAATGCGTTGGATGCGCTTATTTTCAAAAAGGCAATTAAACTGCATATACTACATGGTTTCTATTAATATTATTATAACTTTTACTATACACTTGAGGTGCCTGTAATGGACGCCAATCTTCTTTCCTAAGAACTAATACCCATGTTTTTGGGTCACCTGCAGAATACGTATGCCCAGTTGCTGCCTCTTGCTTTACCTGCGCCACCAATACCTGGAATGGGTGGAAGTTTTGCTCCATCACCTCCAATGAGTGGGATGGGGATGCCTCCAATGGCCCATATGGCATGCCACCAATGGGTTGCTATTGATATCTTAGGAAACTACGATACACAAGCAAGGAACTTGTCAACTTCTACAAGGTTGAATCTCCAAGTGCCCACAATTTCCAGTTTACATTTGAATGTGAAATTGATCTGCACAGTGGGCTGTGAAATATTGAGGTGATAGCTTGCGTTCTTTGGTAATGCATCTGGTAATGAGCGGTGGTGATTATTTAGTGCCCAATTAATGCAGCTTTACCCCATAGTCGAGAACGTTAGCAGTTTAGGTTTTTGACAAACAGTTTATGCAGCCTAGTGGTGACTGAACAAATTCCATGGAGCTGTGGCAAGTCGCGCGGCATGTGTACGGTTATTCTAGTTAATCATCACTATACAAATTTATATTTAGTTAATTGCTCCGAATATACGTTGCTTTGTTCTAAGAAGTCCGAAATTTTATACTTGATGTCTTTCCTTCTTTATGTGTAACAGTTTTAACAAATGAATTATTTTAATCTTCTGTTTTAACTGCATTTCTTAAAATTTATTTTTAAATTCGTTCAAATTCTGTTTTGTTTGATATGTATTATGATTTTGTACATTTCGAGAAATTACTCTAAACAGATGATAAATAATGCTTGATCTAAATGAATTATGTTTGAGATGTTGTAGAGTCGAAAATATCTTTACCACTTGTGTTAAAACATTAGTGCAAGTTGAGTAAATATTTTGGTTGAATATCAGTTAAACAACTCATTTTAGAGTAAAGATGATTAAATGTAATATTGCAAATCTAGTACAAAGGACAAAAAATGATTGATAATATGCTTAAATAACATTATATTTATTGAGTTAGATTCGGTGTTTTTTCTTCCTCAATGGAAACCTTGTTTTATTAAAAAAAAAAAAAAAAGAAAAATGAAAAGAGCCGTGCAATGATATCTCAAATTGCCCCTTAGCTGGCAAAAGGCTATTCCGCGATAGAACAAGCCGCCCCACCACCCAAACGCTCTTCTTGCTTAAAACATTCTGCACGCTTAATTTCAACGCCTCCCACAATCACAAACAAACATTTCTTCCTTCTCACACTCCCACACTTCCATTCCTCTTTTATATAAAAATTCTAGACCCCAAAAATTTTTCACCATAACAAACCAAACGCCTCACTCTCAAAAAAAATTATGGCAAGCAAAGAGCCGATCACGAGCCCAGAGAAGACGAGGAAGCCCCCCGTTGCCGAGGATGAAGACACCGGAGCTCAAGTCGCCCCTATCGTCAAGCTCGATGAAGTTGCTGTCAGCACCGGCGAGGAAAACGAAGATCCAATGCTCGATCTGTCTGTACTTTCAGTTTTTTATATTTCCGATTCAAATTTTCTCCGATTTATCTACAAATTCGAAATGATCTGAATATCTATTATTTTTATTTTATTTGTTAGGAAGTCGAAGCTGTACCGATTTGATAAAGACGGGAATCAATGGAAAGAGAGAGGCGTTGGTACTGTGAAGCTGTTGAAGCACCACGTGACCGGAAAAGTTCGCCTTGTTATGAGGCAATCTAAGACTCTCAAGATCTGCGCCAATCATCTCGGTTCGTTCTCTTCCTTAACTTTCTTTCCTCAATCCTATTTCTGCTTCCGTTTTATTTTCTTATTTCATAATTTTATTAAAAAATATTTGTGTAGTGTTGCCGACTATGACGGTGCAGGAGCACTCAGGGAACGACAAATCGTGCTTATGGCGCGCTTCTGACTTTGCAGATGGTGAGCTGAAAGATGAACTTTTCTGCATTCGTTTTGCGTCTGTGGAAAGTAAGTATATTTTACGTTAAATCACTTTGCTTCCTTTTATTTGCTAAATGAAATTGAATCAATGTTGTTTCAATTCTTTATTTAGTCTAAGATCTGGAGCCGCCAATTAGAGTTTAGTAACCAACAGAATGTTTGAGAGTTGAGCATTGGTATTTTCTTCAAGTTGTTAGTGACTGGCATTTCGGTTAATAGTTGTAATATTTACCAAATTTTGGTTCTCTTATTGACTTTATGAATGTTTGGTTGTACATAATTCAAAGGTTTATGCTTGTGCTGGTGTCAGTTTCAAATAAGTATTTGGTGTAAATAATGGGTTGCATTGCAATTTTACAAATTTCTGACATGAAGTGAGAAACTGTGTTTACTTTTATTAACATCGATCAAAGCATATGAGGCAGATTCTTGCTGATTTTTCCCTTTAATGATGTGATATAGTGTTTTACGAAAATAGATAATAGTTATTTTAGATGGTTTTGTTTGTGTTTTATATATGGCTGCAATGGTTTATCAAAAATTTCCTTTTGTTCCTTTATGGGCGGTTCTGTTCTCCTCCTTTAGTGGTTAGTGAAAAACTGCAAATAACAGAATATATGAAGAAATAAGAAATATTAGTAATATAACTGTTACACCTAAATGTTGATTAATGCTATAAGCCTGTTTTCTTCAAAGTTGATGTGAATGTCAGTTTTTCACATTACTCAGGTAGCCCAAGTTGAGTTTGAATTTGTACTTCAGGAAATTTTTTAATGGATAGAGTTAGGGATTTCCATGATGGCAATTTGAACTATCTTCACATTTTAGCGTTAGTGTTTTTCTTGGGTTTGATATTTCTTTGCTTGGAAAACTAAATAGTATAAAGTTAAATTTAATTTCATAATGATGAACAAAATGTCATTTAAATAAGAAAGGTATCCTAGGATGTTCAATTGAAGAAATTTTAAAATTAAATGTTATTGCTTGTGTACTAGCAATATGCTTTGAATTATTGAATATTTTTAATTCCCAAGTAACTTGGTGTAAATTTTGTATAAATTGTATCCTTCAGGCCTGAATTTATAAGTCTTTTAGGCAAAGTTAATAGACATAGTTGCATATATGATCTGGACTTTTAATGTAATAACTATATCTGAGAGCTTGATATGTCATGAATACATGTTTCATTGAAGTTTTATAGTTGGCTTTATTATTTCCTTTTGTGAACAACAATAAAAATGTGTTATGAGAATAACAGAAACAGTTAAATATAGATGGGTTTACATTGTGGTTATAGATGGCTACATATGTTCTTTGTAATTTGCCTTCTTTTTCCCCTTTATTTGACAGTTCTCATTTCCTTTTGGGGAACAAGCCTTCTAGTTTTTACTGATTTTCCTTTTCTTAAAATTAGACTGGCAAAGCCTTTGTGGAAATGTTCCAAGAAGTTGGCTAAGTCACAAAAACTGAAAGAGGAAAATGAAGATGGATTCTGCTGCTGCTGGACTACTTGAGAAGTTGAGCATTGAGGAAAAGAAAATTGAGGGTAAAGCTCAAGAGGAAAAGGCTGTTGCAGCAAAGGAAGAAACTGAGGGCAGTCAAGATGTGCGTGTTCATAATGCTTTGGGTAAAATTATCCAAAAAATTCATCATCAATTGTGAAAGGATCAATCACTTTCCGTTTCAGAAGCTGTGCACAAGATTCAACTCCACCTAACTCGACGGAATAGAAGACGAGAAACAACTATTGGCCTCCGGTTCCCTTATTTCTCGAAGCGACTACGAAGATGTCGTAACGGAGAGGTCAATTTCCAACATTTGCGGTTACCCTCTGTGCCGAAACCCCTTACTGTCCGAACCTCTCGAAAAGGCGTTACCGATCTCTTTAAAAGAACACAAGAGTTTACGATTTACAAGAACTAACATGTTTTGCTTCACTGATTGCCTAATTAATAGCCGGGCTTTCGCTGGTAGTTTACAAGAAGAGAGGTGTTCGGTTTTGAATCATAAAAACTTAAATGAGATTTTGAGTTTGTTTGGGGACTTAGATTTGGATGATGAGGGTTTGGGGAAGAATGGGGATTTAGGGTTTTCGAATTTGAGATTAAAGAGAAGGGGGAAATAAAGCGGGGGAAGTTTTGTTAGTGGGTCCTTCCAATGCTATTGAAGGCTACGTTCCACAAAGAGAGTTTGTTTTCCAAGCCTTCACCTTCAAAAATTAGCAAAAATGAAGGTGAGAAATTTTTTTCTCCCAATTATTCAAGTTATTATTTATAGAATCACTTAATTATGTTTAGTTTAAAAAACATTAAATTTTATTGCAGTGTTTGCCTCTAAGTATTTCCAAGCTGGGTAATAGCAAAGGAGATTTTTTGTTAATAATGAGATTGACTTTACTAGTGCTACGATCATGAACAATGAGTATACCATTTCCAAGAATACGGTAGTTTTACACAGAGCCAAAGAATGAAGGTGGGAGTACAAAAGAATATTTTGTTACTAATGATGGATTTTAATTGTGAAAATAATCATGAAATGATCAGTATACTGTTTTGAAGACACCTCAGGGTCAGACATAGTTGTTTTGGTTCAAAAGTGAAAGAAATGGAAGGAAAAGGAATTTGTAAAGACTTTGAGGAAAAATGTTCTGATGTTCAGGATCCTCATCTGCTTTGAGGGAAAGGATTCTAGCATTGTAGAATTGCCTCCAACAAGAAACATCTACCAGAGTGGTCTGGATACAAGTGCTGAAGCAAAGAAGGAAGCCCATGCTAATAAGGCAGCAACATCAAGTGAGACTGTACTTAAATCCTCTCTTAAATCTGCAGGAGCAAAGAAACTTAATCTCTCTATTACTTGGGCTGATAATAAGAAAGTTGACAATGCTCTTAATGGCAACCTTTATGAAGTTAAAGAAATGGATACGCTGAAAGGAGATCCTGAAATATGTGGCAGTGCAGAAGATGGTGATGACGAAAATATGTTGCGATTTGTATCAGCAGAAGCTTGTTTGGCATTGAGCAAGGCAGCAGAAGCTGTGGCATTTGGAGATTCTGATGTCACTGATGCTGGTAGGATTTTGTGTGCTTTCATTGAATTTTGTATAGTTTGAATGCTGTATTCAGTGACCTTAACCCCATTTTGTTGCAAAAAAATATGTACAGTTTCTGAAGCTGGCTTATCATATTGCCATGTCCAAGTGAGGCAGAAAAGAAGGAGCCTGTGAAGGATGTTGATGTGCTTGAACCAGAAACAGCCCCTGTAAAGTGGCCAACAAAATCTGGGATTCCACGTTCTGATATGTCCTGAACCCAAAGGACTCATGGTTTGATGCTCCGCCAGAAGGTTTCAGTTTGACTGTAAGTCTCATAGACCTAACATTACCATATTATTTCTCCATTTTTGAATAGTGTTAACAACATTGCCATATTATTTCTGCATTTTCTACTTATGTTGATTGCTTCTCTTGCTCTTTTTGATGTCCACCAGCTGTCAACTTTTTGCAACCATGTGGAATGCTCTTTTTGAATGGATAACATCATCTTCTTTGGCTTATATCTAATGGAAGAGATGAAAGTTTCTCTGAGAGTACCTAACAGTCAACGGGAGAGAGTATCCACAGAAGATTGTCTTACAAGATGGGTGTTCCTCTAAAAATTAAAGATACTCTTGCTGGCTGTATTTCTCGTGCTTTACCTGCTATTGTTACTGATCTCAGACTGCCAATACCAATATCTACTTTGGACAAGGATTGGTACTAATTCTGAATTTTGAAATGGTTAATCATATTGAGAAAATTGATGATAATTCGGATTAGGACTTTAAGGACATTGAACTGGTTTATTTGGGAGGTTTATTGTATTGTAAGATCATTTTTCAAGCATAACTTACTACTTCTGCTTATTAATTAAAGCTCTTTTTACCAAAAAATTTCTTGCACTTTTCATGTTCTTGAGTTGAGTTGCTTCTGAATGTACTCTAAATGTTCTTTTATATAGTGGCGCCTACTAGACACAATGTCTTTTATGGAAGCGCTTCCAGCATTCAGAATGAAACAGTGGCAAGTAATTATTCTTCTGTTTGTTGATGCTCTTTCTGTATCTAGAATACCTGCCCTCACTGCACACATGACTAATGGGAGGACACTTCTTTATAAGGTGAGGCTCTGAGATTGTAAAGGTAGTCTCTTGGTATTGTTCAATGTAAAAGTATAAGTTGAATTCTTGAAATGTTCAATATAGTACTAAAGCTTGATATGTATGATGACTGCTTAGGTGGTTGACACATGAAAAACAAGAGTTTTTGTGATATCATGAATATTATGATGACTGCTGTCTTTGTTGGTTGCAAATAGGTGTTGGATGGTGCCCAATTAAGTATGGAAGAATATGAGGTTATGAAGGATCTCATAATACCACTTGGCCGAGCACCTCATTTCTCTGCACAAGTGGTGTTGATGTTATAGTGAAGTCATTACTCCAGCTCTTGCTGATGGTATTTGGATAATGTATATAACTCCCTTATTTTTTTTTTCCTTGGAAGTTGTCAAAAATTATTCCAAGATTCACTTATGGACATCCCAGAACTATAATTAGTTTGTTTTTGTCAATGTATGATGGGAATATGGAAATATGCTAGTTGAAGGATTGAATTCTCTGGTGTTTTATTTTATGGTTTTCTTTCCCACCCCATTAGCTACCATCACCTTCACTATAAATATAATTTGATGCAAAATCTAGGCACTGATTCTTCATATATATTCTTTTCTTTATTGAAATAAGGATTTGAGCTGATATTATTAATTATATATCAATAGCAGCATTTGCTTGGTTTCTAGCTTACCCCTCAATCTTGTTGAATTTTTTCCCCCAAACCTCCTGTATACTTTGTGTATTGACATTGTTGATCATTTTTTAGTCTCTGATAAGTATTGGATATGCCCCTGACTATTTATTCCTTCTGCAAACAATTTTGAGGACAGATCCACAGGTATTTCCGATTTGTTTGCATTTACAATTTTTGGCGATGGTGTGTTTCTGCTCATATGTTTCAGGTCTTCGTATGGAGTTGACTTTTTGTAGTGTTAGAAACTATCTTAACTTTGGTGCTTGCATAACCTTTTTAATGCCAGGGTGCTGCTAATTTTGCTTTGATGATGTCCCAAATGGAGGGTGGTTGTCCAGTTGATTATAACACAATAACAGATCTATTCCTTCAGGTTTGCTTGGTCTTGCTTTACTTTTGAGTGTTTACATGCACATGTTTTAAAGCAAAAGCAATCATGAAAACAATTCAGGCCTTGAAACTAGAGTGAAAGTCTTCACCTTCATTGTTTTCGTTTCAGCATCTTTAAATTTGTTTGAAGGAAAAAATAAGAGATGTACCTTTAAATTTCAGAGGAACTTGATTCGTGAGGCAACTGCTTTTTTGTTGGATGTGCTAAAGCCAAATTTAC